CTTATACTTGTAACATATAAGTTCTCTTGAATTTGATTGGATCTGGAATACTCAGAGCTTTTAGGAATCTATTCCAGAAATGGCAAAAATCCTTTGGCTGACCTCACAGGCAAAGGCACACTCACAGATCATTATTTCATAGATTTTGGAAAGAGTAAACACTTTCCAGCTCCTAAAAAGATAATCCTGAAAGTGAAAAAAAAAAAGGAGGGGAAATTAAAACAAAGAATACTCGATACACGTTTTATCTTTAGATACACACATAGAGCTTCCACACAAACGAAGGGAAATCTCATCTACCTGTTTAAATCATCATCCAACCCATTTGCACAGACTGAAACTGACTTCATTTTATTCTGATTACCAAACAGTCTTAAACTCACTCTGAAGAGGCATGATCAGGCTACAAAATATGCTATATCAGTAACAAATGCAATTTATAATTTGGGTACAGTCCCAACTAGGTCTTTGGTATAGGCTCAATTCTGAGAGAATGGAGCTTCATTTCAGTAAGTCAGGCCCTTGTTTGTGTAGAAGAGTTTTTACAATAAACATGGCATCTTTTCCTCCAAGGCAAAACAAAGCCAATTTTCTTATGGAAAGAGAAGCAAAGGAAGTATCAGTAGAATAAGTAAGTATCACGATAAGTTGAAACACACAAATAGGTTCTATTTCCAAATCTATTAGCAGTGTGGAAATTCTCTTCCTTTTCTCCATGTCCATTTCTAAAGTTTGTTCTGGAAATCTAATTAACGTAGGAAGCTTTCCAGAGCAAGGCCTATACTTGCTGTGATTATATTTGTCTGACATCCTAGTAAGTGCTAGTGAAAGTATTTTAATTAAGTATATTTACTGTTGTTGCATGTTATGGAAGCAAGACAAGAACAAAAGTGAAAGGAAAGGTGATAAAACCTTTTGAACCAAGATAATTTGAAATACCTGAGCAAATAGAAAAAAAAAGATCTTGAGAGTAATAGAAAAGGGGAGGGAAAGGGGAAAAATGGGATGACGTTGAAGTAGATGGGACAAATGCTGAGCAGAGATTAAAAATAAAAACAACAAAAATCGGCTTGAAGTCAAATGCCAGAACTGTATTTCCTGGCAGTGGTCATTTGCAGTGTGTTGCATCACTGTGCCACAGGAGTCAGATGGATATTAAGTTAGTCTTTGAAGATAATACTTGTCTTGCCAGTATGGAGCCTGCCTTCGCCTTTATTACTGAAGGAGGATGTTTTTATTTGCCTAGTGCAATGCATTACATACATAAATTCCACCCACTCAGCAAGTCAAATTAATGCTAACCCACAAAATACATTAGGTATAGGCTTAAATCAGTCACTTTTTAAGATATAATGCAACCTAGATCCTATCCAGCTTTGCAATATATTCACCATTCAAAACACCCTGCAAACACTTTTCAACATGTTTTGTTTGTTGAGGTGTCTCTCCTTTGCTAGCAACATAGAGACGTAAAGAATACAGGATCTAATTTGTGTTGCCCCGTGATCACTGCCAATGAAAGTGAGAGCTACCAAAACCATTCACTGCCATGGGAGAATGCAGCCAGCTGAAAATCATTACTTGCTCACGTAACAGTAAAACCTAGCACTTTTAATCACAAGCAGTTTAGTTTGCATGGGGATTATGTGACCATCTTGTTTGACCTGAAATCTCTTCAAGTGATAGCTAAAAGAGAATGCTGACAAATTGGGTGTGAATCTTTAACAATCGGTAAAATTAAGGTCTGCTTAATGGAGATGTGCAAATTTTCTCTACTTATCAAACTGTCATATTTTACATAATATTAAGCATTTGTGTGCATAATCAATTATGAATTATAATGTGTATAATGTATCAGTTATAAAAAATAAAATCAAAGTCAACAAAGCAATTCCTGCAGTTGCAGGGCTACACCTAATAAAATAATTTGAGATGTGAAAGAGATGGGAAAGATAAAAAGAAAAAAAAAAAAGAGAAAATTCAGAATACAGACACTTCCCTAGAGGGGAATGGAGGACATAGATACAATTCTACAGCACGTGCCACTCTTTTGTCAATATTTACCCAGCAAGCGGAATGGTAATGTGCACTCATTATTAAACTCAGCCTTCTAATAGTTTCTGGCTCTTGATATGGTTGCTCTGTGTAAATTATGCCAGGGGTTATGTTTGGATTGTGCCACTGGCATAGTTATTTCAGATCTATGTCTTGTTTCCAGATGGTTCATCTGTTTGTTTCCTTAATATATTCAAGATTCATTGTGTTTGCCAGAAATTTACACATTTTTAATGTTGGTTAGCTAGATAAATCTGATCTTAGACAAAAGAGAAAGAACTAACATCTGTAGTTTTTCACGCTAATGCTAACTTAAAAATTTCCCTAAACAGTGAAAGCACAATAAAGTTTTTGAAAGGTTAGCCAAACATTAGAGATGTTTTTGTTCATCAAATATCATACAAAGTAAAACAGATCCGCTCAGCTTTATCAAATGATTTCCTTTAGAGTAGGAAGCCAAGACGTGCACGAAGCTAGTCATAGACCATGTTATTCCTGCCAAGTTTCAGACTCCGGTTCCTAGTCCAGAAACAAACAGTATCCCACACCACAGTAGATTCATATAGTGCTCCCTTTAAAATATTTTGTGGCATTTATTACTACTTTTCCTCAAAATCAGGCACTGCCTTTGATGACAGGGAAATAGGTTATCATACGTTCAAACTGTTTTTTCAAGCTTTCCTAGTGGAACTCAACAATGTGTCTTTATTTTCCCCTTCTGTTCTCCACACAGTTCTTGTGAGAATGTTTACAGCAGACGGAAAAGTATCCACTGTTTTTACAATTTCTTTACATTAATGTCATATAGTTCTGGATATGGGAGATTTTAAAGGCATCTACCATTGTACTGGCTACCGTATACACGCAGCCTATATTCCCAAAGTTCATGGCTACTTAAGCAACTGGAGCAAATAGTTGCCATAATCAATTTACAGGTAAGAAACTGGGCATAGGAGGGTGACTTGTACCAGTCAAAAAGACTGGGAGACACTCAGATGGAGCTGAAGTCTTCTGAGTTACAGCCCAATGCAGCTTAATACTTTCTAGAATAGATTATACAAGCAAAGGAATGGGGAGAAGTGTGAAATGTTAACTGCTCTTTCTGATACATTGCAATATAATCAGGAAAAATGTTTTAAAGGATCAGACCTCTTGTCTTGAAGACTGTCACACATCATAGTCACTAACGTGGAGAGTCACTGTTTCAAAATTACCTGATGAACTCACAAAAGCACTACGTCATGGGTTCTTGTATAACATACATTTTCCAAGTGTTATAAATGGAATTTCTGCAACTTAGTAGAGTTTTAATCCTGTAATTGATGTTTGGCCCTGTTAGAACTGCATTACAATATTGGAATGTTTAAAAAAACTGTCCCTTTATCAAATTTTATAAACATGAAATTTGGTTTTGGAGTAGCAATTAAATGTATCTGAATTCTGTATACATACTAAAAGTGAGTTGTTTTAAGCAAAGGATTCAGAAATTCTTGGCCAGAAAACCCCAAAACTTTAAACTACTGCGGTAAATGTGCTGATTTTTTAACCTCGCAATGTTTGTACTTCTAGTATTTGCTCTACAGCAAAAAAACATATATCTAAACGCATCCGTATATCTAAATGCATAGATATAATAAATACAGAAGCAGCTGCAGAATCTAGAGATCTCAGAATTTCAGAAAAGCACCAAGTATTTTGAGCTGTCAACACCACATGAAAATGCAGGATGTGAACACATTGAAAAATATTAAATAAAAAAAGATCAAAAGCACCCTGTTGCAGTAGATTATATAGCCAAAGTTTTGGGTATATTGGACAGGAAGATTAATGCTTTTATAATGTTATTACTTGGTACAAAAGAAAAATTGATACAAGGCATAAGAAAGAATCATTTTTCCACTTGACAAAGCCTGTTGAGCTAGCTTGTAGTTGACTAGTGTATCATAATTTTTCCCTTCTGAACCAGAGGCCAGCATGTAAGAACCAGGGGCTTCGTTTACCAATGAAGCTCTGCCTTCCTAGGCATCTGCAGGTACTAAATGATCTTTGACCAGGCTCACAGAAGCCTACACAGATATCTGTGAACGTTCATTTTCCAAGCAATTCTCTTTGTGCTGAAGCTTGTTGAAAATACAGTAAGCAAATTTTAAAAATCAATATATATGTTCTACATCAATAACATTCACCACGGATATTTGAATCTAAAGGTTCTTTAGTTCCTGAGAGTCAAAACAAATCTTTATTCCATAAAACCCTGCAGTATTTTAAAGTTTTTTTATTGAAAATTTTTTGCCTCATAATGTGCTGAAAAAGAGTGGGAAGCCATAGTTTAATAAATAGCATGTTTCTAAAAGACATCAGATTGTCCTAATTGATTCTTACGGGGGAAAAATAACCCAGCTCTAACAACATTACAAAATATTTTTTTTTTTAATAGGAAGCATATTTTTCAAAAATAAGTTATTGAGAGAAAACGTTCTGTCCAGCTCTTCCCAAAACACATTCCTACAGACATGGTTACTTAGAGAAGCATGGCATTAGCTCTTCACAGAGAATCTCCGTAACAACCTCTGCTTACCTCTTCACTGTCATGGTAAACTGTACAGTATGCTGTCTTTCAATATGGCACATTATCATCCCAAATTTTGCAACTGGCCATTTAGCTACCACCCCTGTTAGTAGGTAATAGTCTGGGTCACAGCATTACAGTGCAAATGATGTTCAGAAGAAAGGGGAAAAATATGTAACAATCTCATTCCAAATATGCATAGCAAGTGCTTTAAACTTCCTTACATTTCTGCTGTGATCAGTGTTCAGCTGTCACTTGAATTGTTAACAGTGCTTATAAAAATAAGTGTTAATTTTTGTAATGTCTCTGCTTATGGTGTGCAAGATGTATTCAAAACTGGTCCAAAATTAAAAAAAGAAAAAAAGGAGCTGCTTACCCTGGGCTGCATGTATATGTCCCAGTACCTCAGGTTTTAACAATGCTGAAATCCTGAAAAGTTAAAAAATAAAAAATTAAAGAATATGGCTTGCATTTAAAATATGTCTCAGAGCTAAGTGTCATCTTCCCAACCCAAGGTGAATTTTGTTTGGTTTGATGTCATACAACAAAGTACACATACTACAAAGCAGACAGATAAATTTTCACACATAGACAAGTCTAGTAACCCAAGAATATTGGAGTATTTGCTACACTATTGTATGGTGGGCAGAAATTGCTTATGCAGAAGTAACCTGTGGATGCAACACGTTTTGTATCATCTGCTCACATACTGCACTGGTCAGTGGAGATGCAGCCTCCTTTCCATCTAGCTTATTTCCTACTACAGGAAGCCAAAGCATCATTCTTCACTTCAAGATGTCTTGGGTAGTTGTTTATGTAAGTGAAGCAGCACTATAACTTTTATAATTCACTTTCAGAGAATTTCCTTTGAACAGAAGAACCAATATCCGTTGAATGCTAAGCTTTATGTCTCACAAACAAATCCTGCTGTACTGCAGAAATTCAAGAAACAAATCTGCATGGGATAGCTATCCAGAAAATGCTGAGCCATAACCTCTGATTGTCCAGCCCTGCTCCTTTTGTTAGCAGTGTGTAATGGCATTTATCCCTGTGCTGTAGCATTCTCACATTTATTTCATCATTATTTAGAGCCAAATGGTGATGATGAAGCAGCAGAAACAAAGCTCAGTGTTCTGGCCCACCTATCAGAGAAAGAATTATACTGCAGCACAGGTCACACATTAAGAACTATCGTTTCAGAAAAAAGGTCCCCCTTTACTACTGTGTTTTTCTCTTCAGTTCCAGTGTATCCATTGTTTATCAAAACAGTGGCTCCATATTTTAGCAATCTCCATGAAATATACATTACTTTATGGGACATCTGGTAGTTATCGAGTTCTACTACTCAGCTCCCTAGTAGCTCTGACTTCCAGTCAGCAGCTCTGATAACATATTTCCTTCTCTGTGCCCTATTACCCTCACACATCTCACATCTATCTGATAACATTATTCTCCCTGGAGGAATGCCTCTCAGCAAACTATTCTGCTAGATATGCTTTCTCTCATAACTTCTCTAAACTTGTTACTAAGTTCATACCTAATCATCCAACCTCCTGTTTAAAAGCAATTGCTACTCCTCAGCAACACTCCATCACACCATACCTCAGCAGTAACTCCAAGGGGGAAAATATAGGCTTTCCTTATTGCTGGTAGCATAGTTTGAATGTACATGTGTGCTTGGAAAGTCTGATCAGCTATTGGAGCAATCAAAGAGCATGGAAGGTTGCTCAACCATTACCCAAGAGTTTATACTCAAGTTGCTAAATGATTGCAGTAACAGTAACAAAAGTTACTAGTAGGATTCCTTTAGCAAACACTGGGTGGAAGATACCTGGTGCTCTTCTGGCTAGAAGTCACTGGTTTTGGAAGTATATTTTGAATGTTATGAAAGATTATTGAGGAGGTGAGAATTGTTGGGTTTTGTGCTTATACCTAAAGCAGGACTTTTAAGGGAAGTTTTAGAACAGTGTAATCCTGAACGCCTTCTGGGTGAAGTGTTAAAGAGCCCATGACTGAACAGCAATCGGAAATCCATGCAAAATTCAAATTCTACTATAAATCCAGAAGCAGAAACAGCTCGTTTCAGTTGATCAAGAACCTGTAGTTAAGTAACATATAAAGCCAGCTAGCTTTTTCTGCAGTTCTCCTACTTTTCCAAGTTACTAAATTTCAACACTTCTGTTGGAAACACCTTAGAAAATAACTGCTAGCTTCTTGGAACCTCTAACTCTCAAGTCATAAAAGTAGTAGCAAATGTTGGACAGGGCTGTTAAAACTTCTTTCATACTCCTATAAAACCCCTAGGTTTAATTGGAAGAGCCATGTCTTTGATCTTTTAACATGGAGTGGTTCTGGAACTTCATAATCCTGACAGGTTTGTCAGAAGTAACAAAGTCAAAACCCACACTCCAGCTGCTGGGGAGTGAACAGCTACACAACAAAAGATATGCTGTTTGTCAGTACATAAGTACTAGACATACTGTTTTAAGCAAGGAAGCCATACACTCTGACTTCAGTTACCTAAAAGGCTTCAGTCATCCGCACCGAAAAGAAAAAGATGTGCATTTGCAGAGTACTTGTGAGATATCTGCAAATATCAACTTTATTTTCCTGAGGCTCATTATCAGGCCTATTCTGGCAATAAGAAATATCTTCAGTCAAGCAGAAAAATATCTTCAGTCTTTTAGAACTGCTTTAAAACTGTTCGTACATGCATATTGTTGATGAGAGGTATGATTAAGGGTTGAATGTAAAGTTACACTTGCAATTATTTGTATCAAGTTCTTTTTTCAGTGAATGGCAGGTTCAAGCAAGCATTTAGTAAAATAATTCAAGTCACAGACAAATCTGTGGGCTCTAAACAATGAAAATGAAGCTCTCCCATTTCCCTGTCCTGGGCCTCAACTCCAGGAATCTTTGATCTGTACTCAACAGTCTTTTTTTTCTTTCTTTCTTTTCCAAAGCTTGCAGGACAAGAACATCTCTTTTCTGCTACAGAAGCACGTTCACTCTTTCCCAAATGGTATGTTTGAAATTCCTCAGTTAACATTCTTTCACTAGATAATGAGCCATTAGCATCATTCGCCTATGTGATGAAGATGATATTGCCATTTGCAATTTGAGTAAAGGAACAAAATTGATCGCCGTGGTTCGCTGCTTCGCGACTGTCCCGGTCAAAACCGCAGCGACCGACGGCGAGGTACAGGAGAGTTTCTGTGGGTTCCCTCATCCAGGGAGCCCCGAGATAACGGAGCGGCCCAGCAGCTTTCACGAGAGCGGCTGACGCGCCGTTGGCGTTGCCTGGGCAACGGCTCTGCATCCACAGCCCCCTGCCTAGAAAACGCCTCCGGGAGGGCAACGGCGCGTCGCCTCCCAGCAGGACGGAGCGGAGGAGTCAGGGTGTGTGCATCATGTGGGCTGCTCAAACGTGCACAAACCGTAAGCCGTCCTTTCACGGGACTGCACAGTGAGGAGGGCTGTCATCACTGTGAAGAGAGTGATAAGGCGGGGGCACCCGTTAACGGGCTGGTAACGGGGGAGGGTGGTGGTAGCATTACCGGCAGCAGGGCAGGGCTGATTAGTCACACCCCATTAAGGCTACCCGAATAGTGCTGGTGAGTCTGCTGGTTTGCCATGGCTGCGCCCCGGCGGAAGGCTACTGCCAGGAAAAACGTGGAGACCCAGAGGTCCCATGTTCACATAAAAGGAAAATTGCGGCCAAGGAGAATGTGGAGACCCAGACTGAGGTCCCGAAGGAAGATGCTAGTGTGCAGGTCTCTGGCTTAGTGAGTACCAGAGCCTGGCCTTTGCAGTGCTAGGTGAGGGAGATGGCACTTGTGTAAGATGCAACCAGCTAAATGACTTACTCAGCCCTGTGGTTGACCTGAAGGATGAGATGGAGAGGCCGAGGAGCATAAAGGAATGTGACAGGGAGATTGGTGCCAACCCTTTGGAGCCAGCTGGGGCTCCACATGGAGCACGTCACCTCCTGCTGCCTTACAAACAGGTGACAGAAGGGAACCAGCAGGCTGACAGTGTTACCCCATGTCCTCTCCTCCTCCTATCAACAACGGTGAAGAACTGGGAGATGTGGGGCAGTGGCAAAAGACTCCTGCTCAGAGATGCAGATGCATCCTCCCAGAGTTTCCCGTGCCTCCCCAGCTGCCCCTGCAGAACAGGTACAGTGCTCTGCAGGGACAACTGGACAATGCCAGTGATGGTGGTTCTCTCCAGTTGGTGGTGTTACCAAAGTCTAACCAGACCTCACTCAGCATAAAAACCTCATCGGCAAACAAAAAACAATGGCTCATTGTCATTGGTGACTCTCTGCTGAAGGGAGCAGAAGGGCTAATACGTAGACCAGACCCTCTATACAGGGAAGTCTGTTGCCTTCTTGAAGCCCGGGTTAGAGACATAACAAAGAAACTTCCTTCCCTAGTTCCACCCTCAAATTACTACCCCCTATTATTGTTTCAGGTAGGCAGCAATGAAATAGGAAGAACTTCCCTAAAAGCTACGAAAAAGGACTTCAGAGCCTTGGGGCAACAGGTAAAGAGTGTGGGAGCACAAGTTGTGTTCTCCTCTATCCCTCCAGGTACAGGGAATGATGAGGGACTAAATACGAAGGGCCAACAGATTAATACCTAGCTCTGAGCCCGTGTGCCTGGCAGGGGTTTGGGTTTTTTGACCTCTGCTCTGTTTCCACAAGACCAGGCCTGCTGACAATCAATAGGAGTAGTTTCTCCCACCAGTGGAAAGGGGTCTTAAGATGGGAGTTGGGAAGGTTCATTGATAGAGCTTTAAGTATGAAGGGGGTTGGGGGTGTAACCAGGGGTCACTAGAATGGAGGCTCTATGTAAAGTCCCAGTGCATGTAGGAGAGGAATGTGCTAGTAAGATCCCACAGCCTTGTGTCTTGGTGAAGGAGGAGGATGACTCACCCTTTTGTAGGAAGAACATGAGAGTTGGTGCAGGTTGGTTGGCTATGGAAACACTTGAGTATAGTCATGAAGGTATTAAGACTTCTGCCATTCAAAAGGAGGCACAGCTCACATGCTTTTACATTAATGCATGCAGCATGGGTAATAAACAGGAGGAGCTGGAGGCCACTTTGAGGTCAGAAAGCTATGATATAGTCACCATCATGGAAATACGGTGAAATGAGTTGCACAGCTGGAGCGCTGTGATGGATGGATGGTTCAAAAGATATAGGCAAGGCAGGAAAGGCGGTGGTGTAGTCCTCGATGTTAAGAAAGAATATAAATGGATGGAAATGAATGATGGTGAAGATAAGGTTGACTGCTTATGGGTCAGAATAAAAGTGAAGGTCAATACGACTGATACTATCATGGGAGTCTACTACAGGCCATAAAGAGATGGACAAGACACTTTATAGACAGTTGAGTAAGCTCTCCAAGGTCTCTCCCCCTT